ATTTAACCATTATGTTTAATATTACACTAATGCTAGTCTTTTTAGTCCGAAAACGTTCTGTGTTGTAGCCCGAAAGGGTATTTTTAATTATATACGTTTTAGGAAGGATATATATATATATATATATATATATATATATATATATATATATATATATATATATATATATGTATATATGTATATATATGTTATACTTGAAATTTCCGCGGGAGCTATATGTGCTTTCTGTGGTTTTCCGGGTTTGACTACGAGTTGAATAATTTTGGACTTGATAAAAACCATTATTTTGACGACGTTTTGGCAAGGTCGCACTTTGTCGCCATTGTCAAATCAGGTAGTAGCGCTTCTTGCTGGTGCTTGAAGTTAACTGAATATCCTAGTCGATGCGTTTACTTTCCGTCCATCCTCGAGCGTAGGTCGACTATAAAAGTAAACGCATCGAGCAGTATAGTCAGTTAATACAAAAAAAATCATAAAAAACACAAAAAACGGCTTCGGCCACCAAAAAAAATTAAAAAACACTAACAAAAACCGGCTTCGGCCACCAAAAAAAACTAACAAAAACCCCAAAACCCGGGCACGTAGGGCCCAACCCCCTTGAGCACCAAGTCGCCGAACTGAGCCGGGACTCAGAGCGGAGACTTGAGGCCCAAGTAAGCAATTTTAGTTCGCGGATAAGCTTCATTAAGATAAACAGGAATAAAGCGGAGATGCGCTGTCCTGAGTTTTCACATACGGTTAGGAAACCATGTTGGGGTTCAATTACCCAGGACCTCCACATGAAGAGCACTTGGCTGATTGTTGTGCCTCTATAGCGAATCAGATTGCTATAGGGGGGAAAGGGATGGTCTAGAGCATTGGAGCACGGTGGGGTGATTCCTGTTTTTAAACACGAATTAAAACACCTTGCTCCAATGAATTGTTACACCCGATCGTACTACCTGGGTGAACATGTCTCATAGGCTGGGTTCAATCAAATTGCTTGCTTGTATAGTCAGTTAACTTCAAGCACCAGCAAGAAGCGCTACTACCTGAATTGACAATGGCAAGTGCAACCTTGCCGAAATGTCAAAATAATGGTTTTCAACATTACATGAGGATACCCTTGCTCTTGTCAAGATTCAAAACGTAAAACGGGACACAGACATTAATGAAGTGAATTGGATTAGTTCATTAATCTCTGTCTCGTTTTAACACATCGAAAAATTTTCGGTTTTTTTTGTCGTGGAAGTTAAATTAATATTTTTTCCACTAGTTGGCTTTGAACTGTCAACATAAGTATAACCTAAGTTTTTCATTGTCAAATTGTTGTCAGTTCGCGAAGTTTATCTTTTAGTTTTGACTTTATGGCATTCAAATACAACAATTTTAATTCAAGAAAAATGGTTTTTGGAGTGGGTAATGAGCTAATATGCATTTAGTTTATGTTGAAATAAAGTCTAACACTCGAGCAGTATAACATAGATACATTAAAAAATTTCCTAATTGTGAGCATGCCACTCACTTAACATTTACATCTCTTCATCAACGAGTAAGAGAAACAGGTTCAGTGGTCCCAAAAAATATAATGAAACAGGACGACATAATGATGTAAGAGCAGCACATGAAGATTTAATTTTAATAGAAGTTGAAGAAAATCCATAAATTAGCGTTCGAAGACTGTCTGCCATGTATCCCACAATTTCAAAATCTTCCTTAGGAAATATCTTATTTAACGAAAATTTACATATTTTTCATTTTACACAAGGTACAAGCACTGTTACTTCAAGAAGATTTTCGTGAATAATTCACTAGATGGTTACAAAACCAGAAAAATCAAAATAAAGATTTTTTTCAGATACGTTTTGTTTTGCTACGAAGCTACATTCACAAAAAATTCATAATGCACATTAAATACGTGCTCGCATAGAGTATGCTGGGTCCGCTTTTCAAAGAATGAAAAAATTCCTAATAAACTCTACCTTATCGTTGGATATCCGATACTAATTTGTAAAAACATTAATTTATTTGGTATTGCTATATGAAATGGAAACTTGGACTCTCGGAACCGCAAGTATGAGACTTGTAGAAGCCTTTGAGATGTGGGTTTTTCGAAAGATGCTGGAGATCTCTTGGACAAAGCATGTTACCAACAACGAGGTGTTGAAAAGACTGTGGACTGAGAGACAACTCCTAAATATTGCAAAAATCAGAAAAACGAGTTACCTAGACATATTTACAGAGGAGAAAAAATACAACTTCCTACGACTGTTAATGGAAGGGAAAGCGGAAGGAAGAAGAGGTCCAGGAAGAAGAAAATGCTCCTGGCTGAAAAATGTAAGAGGCTGGACAGGCATGGACATACATTCGATACTCAGAACAGCTCAAGATAGAGAGTAATTTGCTGTAGTTATGGCCAACCTTCATTAATGGTGAGGGCATCTTAAGAAGAATAATGCATATTATTCCTACGTTGGTGACCATTCCCACGTTGTTCAAGAATTTAAGCATCAGTATAGGTTTACCATAAACGATCAGATAGGAATAGTTGACGATTATCTACTTGGACCTGTGGAATTGCCGGCTCGTATAAATGGTACTGATTACTTACATTTTCTACAAAACCTTTTACCTGATTTGTTAGATGTCTTTAAATATTCGGCAAAACTTATGGTTTCTACATGACGGCTATCCGGCCAACTATAGCAGGTATGTACGAGACTTTCTTGAAAATAACTAGAAAGACCACTTGATTGGAAGAGACGGTCCATTTGTTGGGCTAGCAAGGTCGGCGGATTTAAATCGTTACGATTATTGTATTTGCGGATACAAAAAAGCATTTGTTCATTCCGTTCCGATACAAAATCATGTACAACTCTGGCTAAAGATATAAGATAATTTAGAAATTTAGAAATAACTTGAAATGTTTGCAAGAATATTTAAGCAAAATGGCAAATGTATGCATAGAGACAAATGTTCATCACATCCAGCATCTTTTGTAACTATCTACCTTTGATACTTGTTCTTTTGTGTTAGTTTCGTTCTATAGTAATAAGTACTTTGTTTTTAAAAACATTTAAATAAAATTTTGTTTCAGTTTGAGTTTTTGCTTCTTTTCCCAAAGGTTTTTAACGAATTGTGGTATTAAGGTACCTAATAATTTAACTTTCATGACAAAAAAACTTTTAAATCGATTTCTGTAAAAAATGGTGTATCCTACCGACTTAAAATAAGAGTACCTCTTAGTACTAGAATACTTGAAAACTTAATAATATGGTATCACGAATGCTTAAAAATTAAAGGCAAAAACTTTAAAATAATCGTTGACCTACCCAAAACGGACGCCAATAACCGGTACTAGAAATTCGCAATTAACGGAATCGGTTTAATTTTGGAGGACAAATAATCGTACAAGTTCTTGTTTTTCTAAATAGAAGCTTTCTGGAGGTATTAAAAAAACTAATTACAAGACGTCATCTTCAAAGAGCTCTAGCTTCCTTAGGAAGCTTTTTCGGACTATGTGAATTCGGTTAAATTATCTTAAAATTAACTGAGGAATCTCCGTTCTTCGTTTGTCAGGAGAATTTTTGTACACCTTGTATATATATTATTTTTATTGGAAATAAGCCACAATTTAAGATTAAAAAAAGTTTATTTTTGAATTTTTCATTTTTACTTCGAAAATCGTTTTCAAAATACAAAACATTAATAAATTAAAACAAATTTTTGTTTTTTGTTACTTGGTGAAAAATTCTTCTAATAATTTAATTTTAACTGACTCATTCATATTGGCATTTAGTTTAGTCTCAATGAATACAAAACTCTGATTGTATATGTATGTTATTACACCTCATTTGTCGTACCGTCGCAAACTAAATGCATATCAGCGTATTATTCCTCAATAGTAAAAAACATTTCTCATTTTTCTTGAAATTGTAGTACTTGAATAACATTTAGTTTAGTCTCAATGAACACCAAACACTGATTGTATATGTCATCATCATCAGCCGTTTTGAGTCCACTGCTGGACATAGTCCTCCCGTAAATAATTCCAATGCATTCTATATTGAGCACCCTGATTGTATATGTTATTTGAAAACATAAATGATGTATCCTCGATATCGTATTGACTTACTAATAGTGGTATTTCCTTTTTATCGATTTTCTCTTTTATTGTGAGTAATCAGATCATACTCCAGGAATTTGCGACGCAATTGATCTTATTTAGCATAATTAGGGCCGCTTCTTTGATTTTTCTTTTTTTTTACCATCTGTTTCTTTTAGACTATATTTGATTCGATCCATTGAATCCTATGTTGATTTTTCCATGTCTGTTTACATATTTGAGATCTATCAAATTCTCGATTTTTAATATAAGATTGATGTTCACTTATTCCAACTTGACATTGAGGCAATGAGAACTTTTGATCAGATACCTCTTTGCAAAGTTTCAGCCAATTTAACTGACACCACTTTCACATTAGGAAAGATTCGGGATCCATTTTCTTAAATGAATGATACCCAACATCATTTTTATTTATTATAAATATGATAGCTTTTCTATTATTAATTTTACAAAAAAAAATATTCTTCATAAAAAGCCCTGCATTGTCTCAAACATAAGATGTAACCATCGTGTTCTTAGAGTGCCTGTCCGTTCCGAACGTTGGCGATAATTCTGGCTATGATGATTTTGTTGGCTTCTATACGAAATAGCTGTGTTGAGGTCTTTCTATACCATGTTCTCAGGTTAGCAAGCCAGGATATTCTTCTTCGTACTGGGGCTCATTTTCCTTCAATTTTACCCATTGGAGTAGCTTGTATCTGCCTTGATTTCTCATTATATGTCTCAAGTACTTCAGCTTACGGCTCTTCACAATGTTGACCAAATCCGCGGTTGTGTTCATCCTCCGTATTACTTCTTCATTGGTGACTTTGTCTGTCCATGGTATCTTCAGGATTCTTCTGTATAACCATAATTCAAACGCCTGAAGTTTTGATAGAGTTTCTGCCTTCAATGTCCACGTTTCTAATTCATACAGAAGCACTGAGTATACGTAACATTTAAGGAGCCTTATTTTTGTTTTCAGGGTGAGGTTATGGCTTTTGAACACAGAGCTCATAGTGAAGAATGCACTTTTGGCCTTTCCGATGCGACATTTAATCTCTTGGGTATTGTCCCATGACTCATTGATTATAGTTCCCAAGTAATTGTATTGTGAGACACGTTCAATTCTCATTTGGTTCACATACAGATTTGCTCCAGTTATGTTTTGCTTGCTGATGATCATTAGCTTGGTTTTGCTGGTGTTTATATCCAGTCCATATGTTCTACTTGTTTCCGTTATTTTGTTCATTAAGTTTTGCAGCCCTTATATGGTATTGGAAAACACTATTGTATTATCTGCATACTGCAGGTTATTAAGCTTGACTTCATTTATTGAGATGCCTTCATCAATATCTTTTAGGGCTTCTTCAAAAATGTACTCCGAGTACAGATTGAATATGTACTCGGTGTACATAGTGGTAGAATTATGCACCCCTGTCTCACTCCCCTTAAGATTTTGAACTGATCTATATATTCTCCATCTATTCGGAGTACCGCTGATTGATTCCAATACAGATTAGCTATAATTTTTAAGTCTCTTCCATCAATCCCCCTCCTATTCAGCACTTCCATCATTTGTTCATGCCTGACTCTATCGAAAGCCTTCTTGAAGTCAATCCGGCATGCAGAAACATTACAGTTGACATCTCTACATTTCTGAAACAAGATCTGCACGCTAAATGAAGCTTCCCTCGTACCAACGGCGTTCACGAATTCAAACTGATTGGGCGCAATTTGTTCCTCGCATTTCCGGTAAATTCTTTTGTGGATGACCTTTAAAAACAGCTTCAGCAGATGGCTCATTAGGCTTATTGTCCTAAAATCTTCACAAACTTTGGCTCCTGGTTTTTTGGGCAATGGTACGAACACCGATTTGAGCCACTCTACTGGAATTTTTCCTGCCTTGTATATTTCATTAAATATATCAGTTATTATTTTTACTTGTTCTGTATCTAATAGATTCAGCAGTTCTGCAGGAATTTCATCAAGTCTCGGTGTCTTTCCATCCTTCATTTGTCTGACGGCTGCCGTTATTTCTTCTGGTATGATTTCGGGACCTAAATTTTCTTCAACGGTGGGCTCTTGTACTGTTCTAAGGTCATGGAAAAGTTTCCTCAAGTATTCTTCCCATACTTTTTTTATCTTCTTTGGTTATGGCAATATTGCCTTCATTATGTGTTATTTTTCCGCTGTTGTGTTTTCGAAACTTACCAGCTATTTCCTTCACCTTTCGATGAACATTGAAGTTATCATATCGACTCTGATACTCTTCTATTTCTTGACATTGTTCCGTTTTTTGTTTCTCTTATTTTTCTTCTGACGATGGTATGTATTCTCTTATATTCTTGGAGATTTTCTTTGTTTTTTTCTTCTGATCCATAAGCTCAAGTATTCCATCGGTCATTCACGATTTGCATTTCTCTGTCTTTCTTCAGGTGTTGTTCTTTTATTTCTCTCACTGTTTCTTGTATGATGGTCATACTTTCCTATATAGTTTCTGCATGTTTGCATGTTAGCACCCTTGTATTGAGGTTTCCACTTACCTTCAGTCGAACATTGGGATCTTTCAGTTTTCTAAAATCATACTTCTTCATCGACTTACTTGTAACCTTCATTCTGAATTTGGAATTACCTACAACTGGTACATGATCAGAATTTATGTCTGCCCGCGGGTATGTGTTGATAGATGTACAGCTGTTCCATACCGCTGATGTAACCATATCAAATTTTATACGAGGTATGTCAAAAAATACGACTTTCGCACAAGAGTAAAGTAGCTTCATTTTTCACAATATTGAAAATTGTTATTATGAAAGCTTGTTCAGAATTAAAAACTATATGTCAATATGGAGTAACATCCGTCTAATTGATTTTTTTTTTCATTTTCAAAATTCATGTTTATTGACGTATCTCGTATAAGATTGAAAAAATGTATTATCTGATAATTGTATCTTAGGTTTTAGACCATGCAAACATTTTTATAATGAATAAGGTTTTTCCTTAAAATTAATAATAAAATAGTTATCATATCTGTAATAAATAAAAATGATAAATACTATATTTATGTGGGAATAAGCCACAATTGATTGTAATGGCAATTACAGTTTACCTAAAAAATTTGACGTTTTGATTTCCACTCTGGAAATGGTTCTTAAAAAAGATTTAAATAATTTAGTTGAAAAAGCATAAATATATAATACAAATAGACTGAGTGCTACAATACAGTCGTCCCCCAGTGCGACAGAAAAATCTGACGAAAAGTCACGAATATCTTTCTAAATAGCCAGGTTTACGACCATGTGACCTAAATGACTAATGAAAAGGTCACGTGGTCAATAAACCCGGCCCAGTCCCCGGCCGGGACTGCCTTGCGTCACATTTCTCTATCGCACTGGGGGACTTGACTGTAAGGCAGCAGCCAGTCTATTTGTATTATAGCGGATTCCCACGATCGGCGATATTGCGAACGGAAGAGGACCAGCCCGCACCCACGCGGACCTTGGGAACGGTCTCATCTGTGGTAGCATAGACACGTCCGCGCTGGTGCGTCCTATCCATCCAGAGTCGGTAACATCAAAGGTGGGGTACGTGCCCGTGAGACGTGATCCTAGCGCGTCTGTTTTAACAGACGACAAGTGCAAGTCAGAAGTTTTTCATTCGCTGACATAAGTCGTTGTCTATAGTTTTAAAGTTGTTTTGCAGTTTTTTGCTAAAAAATGGAATGGACAAAGTTATTTTTGAATTTTTAAATTTGTATCAAAATGAACCAAGTTTACGGACTTCCACGGCACCAGAGCATAAGAACCGGAACGATATATACGATGCATGAAACCGAATAAAAAATCCATTGAAGAATAGTACTATTCTGAGTGGCCTTTTTATGATATAATACGTTGTCTTTCACTTGACATTTTGAAATAACGTTAAATCAAACACTACTGTCACGGACCTATACAGACTGTCACGGACCGTAGAAAGAGCTCTGTCTGCGGTGCGTTGCCGTCCGTGCTCTTCGGATGTCCGCGATGATCTGTAGAATCGCCGATCGTGGGAAGCCGCTATTGCATGTCTATGGGTATAACCGCCAAGAGGTTTGACAAGGTAATGTCATGTCAACAAAATTGGAGGTTAATTCACTGTTGCCCACGGTGTTATAGGCAACAGCCACATTTCGCTGAAAAGATAAGAGAGTGGATGTTTTGCCACATGGAAAATACAAACTCTGATTATTCTAATTGTTTAGTATTGTCTTGTAAATGTTTGTATGTTTGTAGAGTGTTCCTGTTGTGTGAAAATGTGTTGCGTGTTGCATTTAATAATGATGTGTATACCGGGTTTCTTATTCCGCTATAGTTGGTATATTCTTGTTAGCGAATCATTCTTTAAGTATTGGCATCCAAAGCCTGTCTACATTCCGCTGATGGGTTTCCTACAAATTTTTCTTCATTGAGTAGTACGTGCGCTGCTTATATATATATATATATATATATATATATATATATATATATATATATATATATATATATATATATGCATTTGTATCCTTTTTGCCTCCGTACATACAACAGACGTCCCTCCCTCCACCAAAACTAGAGGGAGTATATGCACATACAATGCATCATTAATCTTATTTTGATGTATATTATAAAGGCAAAGAAAGAGGGGTAAATATTTATTAACCTAATTTTATACAGTTATTTTATTTGTGTAGTTCTTGTTTTTCACTTGTGTGACTGTTGTCACTTTTTCTTTTCGTCCTTTTATTATGTATTGTACAGTCGTTAGGTTTCTCTTTATAATATTCGCAACGTTTTGTTGTGTTTTACCTTCCCTGTTATTCTTTAATAGATTATTAATGCGTAGTCGCTTTCGTCCGGTGGTTTCCCGAGATCTATGACTTTTTTTCGGCGATTAACAAGCTGGTTGAACTCTGTCTCATTTCTCAATATAGTGTGATCATACACATTACACAGTTTACCTATTTAAATACTTTTATAAATATAGCACTGACAGGATTAAAAAGGTAAGTTTAAAAATATCTAATGTTAATTAAGATTATAATTTCAATTACTATTACCTTATTGTCTTCAGTAAATCAAACAATGATGTTATGGCCAAGGTACCCCGAACAGGAGGGACGATTTTATTGGAACTTGCTAACGAGTTACAGTGCCTCACAATAAATATGGTCATTCGTTTGAAACATGTTTATTGCGAAAAATATCTACATTTAAAATTCAAAATAAACTCAATGTTGTAATACAACTTTTAAAATAAATAATATGACAATAAATTAAACAAAGTTTTCCAATCACAGAAACATAAGCGCGCTCAAATTTTGGTCGCTTGCTCTAATAAAATAAGGGAATGTTCTAGATACTAATTGAAATGCGCCGACATACCGAGAAGAAAAAATTACCTTTTTTTACATATAAAACCCTATCCTCTTTGATACCGTTGTAGCAAGTACAAGACTAATAAGCAGTTACAACGAGCTAACTAAAATCTATAATGCTCGAAGTTTGGCCATGTATTTGGGAACTACACTAAAGCAAATATGTGATTTGTGTAGTCATTTGTTAATGAAAGATCACCCCGATATTTTTTGTAACGATAAAGACGCAAAACTAAAAAATTGAAGAGATTCAAGTTGGTAGTGAATAGTCAGTGGAGTTTTGAAACATCGTCATGAGCTATTTGCTTAATGATATTTAATTATGTCTCAAAGTTGTATTTTGACATTGTAATTTCTGTTAATCGATGTATTATATTGTGATATGCTACCAGTTTATGTTGTGTTGGATGGGATGATGAATTGTGTATAGTCGTGTCAGTATGGGTAGGTTTATGAAATATGGAGAAGTCATGTTTGATTTTTTTTAAGTCTGATAATTTTTAAATCTAAAAAATTTATGGATTGGTTTTGTTCTGTTTCTATTGTAAATTCAATATGACTATGAAGTGAATTAATATACGATAAAAATTGATTGAGTTGCCTGTTAGTTCCTGTGAAACATACCAGTACGTCGTCTACGTATCTCCACCAATATATAAACTGTTTAAATACGGGATGTTTTGAAATCTTTGTCTCTAGATGATCCATAAAAATATCTGATAGCAATGGACTTAGAGGATTGCCCATTATAAGTCCTGCACTGTTATTTGCATATATTTGATTATTAAAATCAAAGTAGTCCTGGTTTATGCAAACTTCAAGAAGAGGTAAAATTTCAGATGTAATTATTGGATTTGTACTGTTTTGGTCTAAAAGGTTTTTTACTAGAATAAAAGTTTCTGTAGTAGGGATCTTAGGAAAAAGATTTTTTACATGAAATGAAATTAATCTGGAGTTGTCAGGTAATAAATGTAAAAAATTTGACGTAACAAATCTTTTTCCTATTATCCCCCCTACAGAAACTTTTATTCTAGTAAAAACCCTTTAGACCCAAATAGTACAAATCCAATAATTACATCTGAAGTTTTACATCTTCTTGAAGTTTGCATAAACCAGGACTACTTTGAATTGAATAATCAAATATATACAAATAACAGTGCAGGACTTATAATGGGCAATCCTTTTAAGTCCATTGCCACAGATATTTTTATGGATCATCTAGAGACAAAGTTTTTAAAGCATCCCGTATTTAAACAGTTTTATATTGGTGGAGATACATAGACGACGTACTGGTATGTTTCACAGAAATTAACAGGCAACTGGATCAATTTTTATCATATATTAATTTAATTCAGTCATATTGAATTTACAATAGAAACAGAACAAAATCAATCCATAAATTTTTAGATTTAAAAATTATCAGACTTAAAAACAAACATGACTTCTCCATATTTCATAAACCTACCCATACTGACACCACTATACACAATTCATCATCCCATCCAACACAACATAAACAGGCAGCTTATCATAGTATGTTACATAGATTAACAGAAATTCCGATGTCGAAATACAACTTTGAGACAGAATTAAATAGCATTAAGCAAATAGCAGTAAACAAGGAATAAAACGAACAAACAATTAATAAAATGTTAAACCAAAAACTACACAAGAAAGCCCTGAAATTAGTATTTCCACCACCAGAGAAAAAACCCAGTATCTTCTGTTCAATTATATATACAGGCAAATAAGCAACAAAAATAGCCAAACACATAAAAAAGAAAGGAATAACACCAGCTTTTCGAACAAATAACAACCTATGCAAATATATTAAAAACAACAAGAGCCAAAATAAAAAATACTTACACAGTGGTATGTACAAACTTAAATGTGGCGACTGCCCAAAAACTTATATCGGTCAAACTGGTAGAAACTTTAATAAACGAATAGCAGAACATAAAAGGGCTTTCAATAATAGAAAAACAGATTCTACATACGCACTTCACCTTATAGATCACAATCATTCTTTTAATGACGAATTTAAAATTCACCACATTCAAAATAAAGGCCTTAAGCTATCCTTGTTAGAATCTATGGAAATCAACAAATTAAAAAACACAGATATAATTCTGAATGACCAAGTTGAGACAAACAGTTCTCGCCTCCTCAACCTATTTCATTAGAGACTATAAAGTGTAAACGCATGCCAAAAATAGAACACTTGAGAAAGTCAATCAGGCGAAACAGTGGTAGTGATAAGAGTTTTAAATAAATTTTGTGGAAGTTTGAAAACAAAGTTTTTAGTGTTTTATTGTTACATAAAATAAATTTCCAGCGAGTAAAGATCAAATCCATCAA